TTGCAATATTCTTAAGCCGATGATTTCACACTCATGCCTTTGATTAGTGGGGTACGATAATTGACCGCTCTCAGGGTGTGGGGTGATCGACGTTGGTGGGGTATTTGAATTGAAGGAATTGCATCTTGAACCGAGGTGCAAAGGAACGGAAACCCTTGCAAACCCTTCGTTGATATAAGAGCTTCCCAGATTTCCCACAGTCTCTTTCCTTCGTTTGTCCATCTTCCCTCTCTTCTCCCCCGTCTCCAAGATCAAACGACATGGACTCGAAGCAGAACCCCGTCACCGACCGTCCCGCCGATGTCATCGCCGACCCGGAGAAGCACAGCGTTCTCGACGAAGGGCCTCTTAAGGAGCATGGCGACTACTCTGGAGCAGTGTCGAAGACGGATCCTGCTGAGGTGAAGCTAGTGCGCAAGCTGGACATCTGGATAATGGTGAGTGGGCTGAGGTTTTGAGATACCTCACTCACAGGAAAGCTGACATTCGCTTGATAGCCCATCCTGTGGCTCATGTACTGGCTCAACTACTTGGACCGCAACGCCATCACGCTCGCGCGCCTTAACAACTTCGAGAACGACCTAGGTCTCACCGGCTCACAGTACAGCACCGCCGTCTCCATTCTCTTCGTCGGCTACATCATCGGCCAGATCCCCAGTAACATGATCATCACCCGTGTCAGACCGTCGTGGTACATGGGCATCTGTATGATGGGGTGGGCCATCGTCAGCTGCATGACGGCCTTGGCCAAGGACTACACCGGCATCATCCTTACCAGATTCTTCCTCGGTGTCGTCGAAGCGCCCTACTACCCCGGCGCCCTGTACATCCTGTCCATCTTCTACACCCGCAAAGAGATCGCCACGAGGATCAGTATCCTATACTCGGGCAACATCCTCGCCTCTGCGTTTGCCGGTCTCATCGCCATCGGGGTTTTCGAGCTCGACGGCGTCCACGGACTCAGCGGCTGGCGCTGGCTCTTCATCATCCAGGGTATCGTCACATTTGTGGTCGCCGTCGTCGCCTGCTTTGTCCTCCCCGACGAGCCTCTGACGACGTGGTGGCTCTCGCCCGAGGAGAAGCAGCTCGCCCACGAACGTGTGGCTCGTGACACCGTCGGTCAGACGACCGACTCTTCCATCTGGGCGGGGCTCAGGCAGGCCGCCGCCGATCCGAAGGTCTGGGTGTTCGTGTACATGCAGCACCTTCACATCGCCACCAACGGTTTCAAGAACTTCTTCCCCACCATCATTGAGACCCTTGGCTTCGAGCGCACCATCACCCTCGTCCTCACCTGCCCCCCTTACCTCATCGCCGGCATTATCTCCATCGGATGGGCCGCGTCGTCGGGTCACTACAACGAGAGGACGTGGCATATCACCATCGCCAAGGCCGTTGCCGTATTTGGATTTGTGCTGGGATGCGCGACGTTGAACGTCGGTGCTAGGTACTTCGCTATGTGCGTGTTCACCATCGGAACGTACTGCGTCAACTCTATCATCCTTGGATGGGTGAGTAGCTCTTGTGGTCAGACGAAGGAGAAGAAGGCCGCCTCGCTCGCCATCGCCAACGTCTCCGCAACGCTCAGTCTCATCTGGACTCCTGTGAGTACCTTCCCCTTTTTTCCGTGAAAGACAGTTTTGCTAACTACATCTTGCACAGTATATCTGGCCTAAGGACGCTGCGCCTCGCTATGTTCTTCCTATGGCGACGAGCGCTGGTATGGCTGTTGCGTGTGTTGGAGGTGCCTGGTTGATGAGGTGGATGCTCATCAGGGAGAACCGCAAGATTCGTCGCATCGACTCTGATGCCGTTCTCTTCTACGCTTACTGATCGTTGGTCTTCTCTGGATGTCTCTATGTTTAGGCTCGAATTGTACATTATCTCGCATTTTTCACGCTACGTTTCTACATTCACGACGTTCAAGTGCATGTACTTTATCTACGCATACAAATGCAGTCACTTGCTGCTCTCCTTCTCCGTCATTGTACGATTTGCATATGCTATGTCCGATGAACAGTGTTGCATGAGATTTTCTGAGCAGGTGTTAATCTGAGACGGGAAGCACAGTAGACCCGAAGCTGAATTTCGAGACTACCGAGAGTGCATCGATTGGAGGTTCGCGAAATGCTGCATCCAGATGTAGAGCCGTGAAGACGATGACGAGACTCCCTCGGGAGTGCGATAAAGAGCTTTACATTACTTTGATCGCCGGATCAACAGGCGAATTCATCTTGAATTCACCGGCGTCGGTATCATCTCCTCCCCTTCAACTCTGTGCAGCCAAGAAGACAAGAATGTTCAGGCGAGAGCAGGACCACGAGGAGTGTCTTGATCCCAGATATGTAACTGCTACGCATGTACATTATGCTCAACATCTCTACCTAAATTATGTACGTGCACGACTCCAGACCCTCGACTCAGTGTCAAGTAGCGCTAGCAACTATGAGTAAACGAGGTGTAGATGGACAAACAAGCGCGTCGAACTCCCCATAGTCGAACCTCCTCCAGCTCCCAAATGCGACCTAATGCTCGCTCACCGTCCAGATCTGGTTCGCATACGGCTTGTTGCTATCAGGACTACACTGCCAGAGCTGCAGGACATTCCTATTCGCCGTATTCCCATCCGTGAGGTCCACGCACAACGGACCCGTTCCACCAGCGGATGCCAAAACGTACGTCCAGAACATCATGGCCCCATTCTCGCCGGGATTATAAGGGCGGGCAAAGCTCTGCCACCCAGGAGTACCGCCTGGGACGGAATCGCACTTCTTCAGCACCATCTTCACGCCGTTGTAGACTGGGGGAGAAAGCTGTCGGGGAATACTGGTATACGAGGCGAAGGAAGAACACCCACGGTCTTTGTTCTCAGGTTGGCCGTTCATTGGCGGGATATCCATGCAGAAGTTCTCGCCGTTGACAGGGTTGGTGATGAAGACCTGACTGAAGCGGAGGTTCGACAGGCCCCAGTTCCATCCCTGGGTAGGAGAACCGTTGCAGTCGTAACTACGCGAATCAAAACCATACTATTAGTCGCGACGTTCAGTTCAGAGAGAGGGAACGGTGCGTACACGTCTATAGCCGCGCCAGCGACGAATTTACCACCAACAACGCCGATGCACTTATTCGGGGCTGCTTTGGGGTGGATGTTGACGTACTGCCCTGGACCTTGGTCCTGACGAGCCTCGAGGGAGGGAGCGGCGAGAGCGAAAGAAGCCGCTGGGAGGGCGCTGGCGACGTACGTGGAGAGCTTCATGGTAGAATTCGAGGGAGAGGGTGGGAGGTGACGGGGACTCTGGAGTACGGTGGGAGGATGATGGTGTCTTCGTATTTATAGAGCAGGCCTTGATTACGTGCCTGGCTGATCCTGTATACATGTACTCTATGTTGCGTGTCTCCATCACAGATGAGCCTGCATGTCAACAGTTGTTGCCAGCGACTAGCCGTGTATCCGTCTTCTCGAGAGAACCCACTGCGAGCAGTGCTATGTGGTCCTTGTTGCAAGAGTGAGCCGAGTAGTATAATCTCAAACCTATTGCGGCAAAGCGAGTCGTAGGTGCTGCGAGTTCTGGAGCGCGCAGTGGCGGCAACGTCGATAATCACACGACCACGCAGCGCTCTCGCACGCACGGTCATCACACACCGTGCGGCGTGGAAAAGTACTGTATGCCGGGACCCAGCGGTACCGTACTGTATGCCCTCCGTATGCCTCTATTCCAGCGCAAAGACACAAATCGAGCTTCAGATTGATAGAGAGCAACGTAGTTTCCAGAGATCATGAATGCCGGATTGGTGTAGATGGAGCAGAACAAGGCGCCTAGAGCACACAAGTACTATCGTGGTCGCCTCTACCAAGTCGCGCGACTGCCCCCCAGATGCCCCTAACAATCCACCCCACACCAGGCTCTTTGTACCCACCTACGCATCACTCACCTCCCACCCCTGCTTCCTCCCCGCATCACCGCACTTCCACAACCGCACCACCCCATTCCCACTCCCATTGCTCTCGCCATCCAAGTTCAGATCCAGACAAAGCTCACTCTCCCCCTTACTCCCCTCCGCAGCAAACAGCGTCGAGAACTTGATAGCACCCTCGTCATTCGGCCTGCCGACGTTCTGCCACGATCGACTCGAATATGATAGGATCGCGGGTTTGAGGCCTAGGGGTGTGCTGTTTGGACGTTCGAACCGAGCGCCGCCCACAACTAGGACTCAGTCATTAGTTAGGTGGATGGATGAAAGGATATGATGATATCATATATACACACCTCCGAACACAAGAGGTGGCTCGTCGAATGGTCCCATGTCGATGCATAGATTGTCGGCGGTGGAAGGGTCGGTGACGAAGAGCTGAGTTAGGTTGCCTGATAAGGGGAGGGAACCCCATGACCAGGTTTGCGTGGCGGAGTCGTTGAGGCAGTCGGAGCTGAGATAGCCATTAACGCGTTAAGGATGTTTGCAAGTTAAGAGAATGCAAGTCACTCACATCCAATACCGCCTTGAACACCGACGCACTTGGATCTGTCCCCGGCGGGGTGTATTCAATGTTACTTCAGCTGGGCGGGTATAGGCTCGAGCGAGAGGAGAGGCTGATAGAATGTGATACCGGTGAAGAAGGTGATCAGGGGGTAGAAGAAGGCCAGAAGGAAGTTCATGACGGGCAGGAACAAGAGATGAGTTCGATTCGGAGGCGCCCAAACATAGATGACATCTGCTTCTGCTAATTTATACAAAGCACTCAATTCGTCAGATAACCCGTGTTGCTGGTTTCTCAGAGGGTTCTGGCCAAGATAAAGACGCAGTAGACTTATAGAAAGATCCTGAGCATGGTGAATGTGTCAAGGTATGTGAATAAAGGGTAGTTTGCCTTCGTTGTCGTTGTGTGCATGATGGAGAACGGCGGAGGGAGATCCCCGAACCGGACTTCCCGAAAGGAAGCCTGTGGACGCCCTAATGTATTACTTTGCTATCTTATCTTATGCAGCACACCAAAAACCATCGCATCAATGGGGTAGTGGTAACCTGGGTCGTTGCCATGTTCGAACATAAGTTCGACCCGCCGGGGGTTCGATTCCCTCTTGATGCAATTGTCCCTCGCAGAATGATAGAACTCATCTTTTGTTTCTTTTTGAGACCTACCCTCGTCTCTCAGCCTTCTCACATCCGAACTTCCAGCCGCCAGTCTGCGCCAGAGTCAAGGCCCCAAAGCACTCGGCTTTAGGAATCCATTCGTTATCAAACGCAGCAAGCATCCGGTGCCTCGATAAGGACTCAAGAACGCTCGTTGCTAGCTCCCCACCTATAGCAGGCTCTGTTCCCCAGGGCAAAATCCGGCCCTATGATACACGATGGCGCGATTAGATTGAACGCTTCGTAACTCATCCCAAACCCTCACCACGTCCCAACTTCCGTACCCCAACTCTCGACGACGACCATCTATTGCTAACCTTTGCCAATGTCTCCACCCCCCACATTCACCCGCTTCGCCATCCTCGGCTCTGGCCAAGTCGCTCGCTCCATCCTCACCGCCCTCCTCTCCCTCCCCTCCCCCACCACTCCCGATTCCATAACCATCCTAACTCGACACGCACCCACCTCCCCACCCCTCCCCACATCCCCCATCATCAAACTCGCCCTCATCTCATCATACTCCAACACCTCTGATGAAATCACCAACATCCTCAGCACCGAACGAAGCGAGGTCGTTATTGACGCGACGCGTGTTGCTGAGGCGGGGTTTCATAAGACGTTGGTGGATGCTGCGAGGAAGGCGGAGGGGGTGAAGTTGTTCGTTCCGAGCGAGTTTGGGAATGTTACGGATGAGAGGGAGGGGAGGGATGAGGGGGATTTTAAGGGTGCTGTTAGGGCGTATTTGAGAGGGGTGGGGCTGCCGTTCGTTGCGATTTTCGTGCGTCTCTCTCTGTCTGTTCCTATCTATCCAGCTAATGAGATGGGTTATGTATGGTGTAGTGCAACTGCTTCATCTCCGCCGTCCCCTGGCTCGTCCAGTCCGACCAAGGCAAATTCTATATCCTAGGCGAGGGGAATACACCAGCATCGTACACCGCCCTCCCCGACGTCGCCCGGTTCCTTGCGCACATACTCACCACTCTCCCCCTTCACCCCACCACCTCTCCCTCCAACTCCGACCGACTCGCACCCCCAACATCCCTCTCCAATTCCTCCTTCCGCCTCCAATCATCCCGCCTCACCCTCCTCCAACTCCACGCCCTCCCATCCTTCTCCCACCTCCCCCTCGTCCACCTCCCTCTCTCTTCCTCCATCCCCCCTTCCGCACCGGGCAAGGAAGACGAGGAGGGAACAGCGTTTGCTACGCTCGTGCAATGGTGGACTGAGGGTGGGCGGTGTTCGACGGGGTGGGATTGGGAGGCGGGGAAGGATAGGGAGGGGTGGGCGGGGAGTGGGAATGGGGTGGTGGGGACGGAAGGGTGGGTTTGGGAGAGGGTGGAGGACGTTTATGGGAAGGAGGGGACGGGGGTATAGATGAGATGAGACTCGAGTCGATGGGCGACGGGCCGTACGTCGGGGAGATGCAGCTTGGAGAATCTGTCCTGCGGATAGGCGTCACTATCGCCAATGTACGGCCTCGTCGAATGGACCTGAGCAGATCGATATCCCAATCCTCTTTGTTGCGTATCGGTTGTTGCGTATCCCCATAACAATCACGTTCATCTAGCCCAACTCTCGTTGGCGACGATACACCGTGCATTATTCGAGCGATGCACCCCTTCTACTCGAAGTTCTGTCCTCTGAGTATTATCTCCCTCGGGCCTATTACCTACAGGCTACCTCGGCTTCTCACCTTCATCATTCGGAGTACACGGTCAAACTTGCCACTCCGCGCGCGGTGCAATGTGTCCTACGTTGTGACGTGTTGAGTCTGAAACTTGAAGCCGCGAAGCGGCATGAAGCCTGCGCAAGTTTGCGTAGGTACCACCAAAAACTCTGCTGCGCAAAAGGAACTACGTGTGCCTGATGTCCGTAAACATTAACTGCATCAAGAGGGAATCGAACCCCCGGCGGGTCGAGCTCGCATGAGTCTCTCGACAAATGGCAACGACCCAGGTTACCACTACCCCATTGATGCGATGAACTCAGCTGCTTCTGGCCAGTCATGATCGCGCAAGACCGCAGCTAATGAGTGGTTCACAGGTAGTAGTACTTTCAACTGATGGACTCAAGAATTCATGAGCATCAAATCATCCCCTTTACTCCTCATGAGGGCTCATCAGGTAAAGAGTGTAATTTTTGACATAACAAGCATGCATGACAGCGTACTAGCTACGTAAGGGTGCTACGGCAAGCAGAGTACAATATCCAGTCTGGGTAACAGCAGTACTAGGTGATATGTGTTCAATCAACCCATTTGTCCGTTGGTAGGACCCTTCCAATCAAGTCCTCCTAGATCTCTGGTATATGCTCATAGTCTCCCTCAAATTACCATGACAACCATGCAAGTAGTAACAATTGCAAAACACAATGGAATGCAACAGGATGCGCGTACAATGAAGTGTTTCCAATGCTATCACTATCAACATTTTGAAGGCCCGTACTCGTTTCGAGACCAGTCCCCAACAATGACGCCAAGTCAGTTGCAGCCTTGTTGAGGGAAGAAGCTTCTTCTGTGATTGATTTCCAAGAATTGATCTCGGGGGTCACCACAGCTGCAGTACCAGTGGAGTGGGAAATACCAGTGGAAGAAGGCGTCCCCTCATACCTGTAAGACCCCGGGGATGATCTGCAAGGCAGCACACCAAGTAGTCTAGTAACAAAGATGAATAATGAGCATGGTGAGGCTGTGAGTATGTGTACCTAGTAACGAAGTGGATAAAACTAAAGAGCAACATCACGTGATGGTTGGCGACACGTAACCTGCGTACGTGCTTGACGCGCGGGCCGCCACTGTCAACACGCGCCACTGTTCAGCCATCCTGTGGTGGACAGAGAGGGGCAGGGAGACACTGGGGTGGTAGGTCTGGAGTTGAGGCTCTACAGATCTGGGGGTAGATAAGAATGATCTGGAGATTGGGCGCAAGACTGGATCCCACTGCACGCGAACTGTCCCAAAGACCAAGTTAGATTGAGTACACAAAAGATAACTAAGCGCAGCGCTGCATACCTGTCCCAAATACCAAGAGGTCAAGATGGGAAATGTTACGATACATAGCGTACTTAGCCTTGTAGAGTAGATGTAGCGGCAGTGGATGGCTGAAGAGTGGCGCGCGTTGATGGTGGCGGCCCGCGCGTCGAGCACGTGCGCGGGTTACGTGTCGCCAACCATCACGTGATGTTGCTCTTTAGTTTTATCCACTTTGTTACTAGGTACGCATGCACACGGCCTCATTGTGCTCATTATTCATCTTTGTTACTAGACTACTTGGCGTGCTGCCTTGCAGATTATCCCCGGGGTCTTACAGGAAAGGCATGCACGCGCGCGCGTCCCTACTATGTACCCAGCAGCGTACAGCTAACAGATGATCTACTGTACAGTATTAGGCAATCAATGGTGAGATATCGCTTTGCGTAAATGTGCTCAGGTACCAGCGGGAGAACTAACATACGAGCATCCAAACGTGGAAATAGTGATTGGATCAAAAGAGACGCAGGCGCGTCGCGCGCGCGTCTCGCAAAAAGGGAATGATGCAAACCGGGTAGGGGATGGATGCGAGAGACCGAGACAAAGGAAACCGTGTATCAAGAACGGCAAACAATGAAGGGATTCGGGAGACGAGATGAATAAAAGAAAATAAAGATGAACAAAAATCAGAACGAGACTTAGACAGAAAAGTGGTGAACATGGGCACTTCATCACACATCCACTGCCGCTACATCTACTCTACAAGGCTAAGTACGCTATGTATCGTAACACTCGGTCTGTGCAAAAGGAAAAGTCCAATCCAAAAAAAAAGAACACTGTCCCTGTAATAAACCATGCTACCCACTGGACGATTATACCACTGAGCCAAAAGGCCACTATGTCTTGGTATTAGACATAGGCAGTTGGCACTATATATGCGAATTCACATGTTATTTGCACTCATCCAGCATGCATATAACAGTCCCTCTCAACTCCGGCGGCGTCGACGGGCCTTCTTCCTGGTCCTGCCTGCCAACTCTGCCGCCAAAAACTCAGCAATTGCCTCCTGCGCACCTTTCAAGTTCTCCTCCGGCTCCCACTGATCCTCTGTCTCTCCATACCCAACCCAACGCACCAGATACTGCATGCCGGTCTTCCTCTTGCGC